TGTCCCTCAGGCCAAATGCTAAGTTCTCTAAGTAACAAAGAGCTCTTTGCTCTTTCAAATCAGTAACAAAACAAAACCAACTCAAGACAAAAAAAAGGGCAAAGAAGCAGCCAGGTCACCAGGAGACTACTTTAAAATATGACAAAAAAAAAAAAAGAAGACAGATGCCCGACTGCTCGTAATGGAGAAAGGCAGGTGGAACCCTGAGTGAAGGGCTGTTTGCAAGTACGGAGGCAGTAATGAAGTGTGCATGAGGTGGGGGGGGGCAAGGAGGGAGGCTGGGGGTGGCACCTCTTGGGGGGGGGTCTGGCAAATGCCTTGGAACGTATGCTCCCCAATACATGAACATGAGGACTCGGGGGCCGCTGAGGCTCCCAGCGAAGGGACAGAGGGAGCATGTGACTCACATCCCCACGGGGGAAGGCCACTCAGCCTGTCACTAATGAGCAGACCCCATCTTGACGAAGTGATTAAGGTCAACACCACCGGCGACAGGGCCCACCGGCAGCTCGCCTCCCCCACATGGTGCCCCAGGACGGACACGTGCCTTCAGCGGGATTCCTCCCAAAGGCGCAGGCTTCAAGCTAATGAGGAAGCAGCGGACAGACCACCTGGAGGGACGCTCCACAACGCCAGACCCAGCAGTTCTCAGCACAAGTCCAAAGGCTGTGGACGATGATGGAAAGGCCGAGGAGCCATCATGGGTCAGGGGACACGAGGCACATAGGATGACGAGTGCAACGTGGGGGCCTGGACCAGAAGGAGCACGTTAGGGGAAGCTCTGGGGGGGCCACGGTCCAGGGTGGATGGGAGCCGCCCCATGGCATCAGTGCCTATTTTCTAGGCCACATGACTGTATCCTGAATGATGCTAACATGGGGGGCAGCTGGACGAAGTGTCTACTGGAACTCTTAGGATTTCTACCACTGTTCTGTAAGCCTAAAATTATTTCAAAATAAAAAGCTAAAGAAAGGGGCACCTGTGTGGCTCAGTCGTTAAGCGTCTACCTTCAGCTCAGGTCATGGTCCCAGGGTCCTGGGATCGAGCCCCGCATCGGGCTCCTTCCTCGGGGGGTGGGGGTGGGGGGGAGCCTGCTTCTCCCTCTTCCACTCCCCCTGCTTGTGTTCCCTCTCTCGCTGTGTCTCTCTCTGTCAAATAAATAAATGAAAAATCTTTACAAAAAAAAAAAAAAGGCTAAAGAAAAAAAATGCCTTATGAAAACCACGAGCTTCTGGATGTGCCAGAGGTTTCGGAGAAACACATTTCAGATGTCTGTGGCTGTTGAGGGGCGGGCTGGTGGGCTGATCTGGCTCCTCCTTGTCCACTTGGGGCCTCCAAGCCAGGGGCATAGTGTCTTGGGCTGGGGAAGGGCGCTGGCAGCCATGGGAGCCCTGTGCAAGGGAGTGGGGCTTCTCGTTTGTGGGGAGACCAGTGCCCTTCTTGGCAGGGAGAGGGGCGTCAGGCTGAGGCCTTCACCAAGGGCCCATCTGTGGCTCTGCACACGGGCTGAGAACAAGGTGAAGGCAGACGCTACACACAATGACACCATGGCGGTTTTATTAAATCCCTCTGCCACTGTGCTCGCTAATCCAGCCAGCCTTCACCACCGATATGGGTGCTGCTTTACCGATGGGGAAGTTACAGTAGCACGAGTCCTCTGCTGGAGACCACTATGGTGATAATCGCTGCCACTACCCATTAGGGGTGTCATGGTCACTGGTTTATC